TTGCTTGCCCCTGTGGGGCTGCCATTCCTCCTGCGATTTCAGGGGGCTGAAGTCAAAGGCTATGTGTCATCTAGAGTATGTGCAGGCTTGTGGGAAATTATTGTAACATGGTCAGCCCCTTAGTATCCTTTGCCGCATGTTCTCGTGTTTCTCTGACACCGATGGTCTGGGTCTGAAAGTCTACTCGGGAGGAGAAAACGGGACAGGAGAAGTGGGAACTTCTTGATTCTGGGAAGGAGTAGAGGCTGGAGCCCAGGCCGGAAACCATGGCAGCCTCACCTCCAGTCACCGGCCAGCCTGCCTGGGCCGGGTCTTTGGCACCTCTTTGCCGGGTGTTCGGTCACCCCTGCCCTTCCCCTGTAGCGGGCGAACAGCGTCCCGGAGACGTCGGGCCCTGGCCCAGGCGTGGGGGCGGCAAAGTTGGAGGGCGGCCGCCAGGCTCCGGGGCCGCCGGTGGTAAGCCACGGCCCACGCGGCCACGCTCGGAGCCACCCGCGCTCACTTCACAGCCGGCCCGGCTGTCGCGCCCGAGGCAAATGGTTGGGTTCCAAATCCGCCCGCGTCCGCGGCCAAGACCAGGCAGGTCCGACACCCGCCAAGCCGTGAAGTTGAAAAGCTCCCAGTGAACGAGCCGAGGCCCGGTCTCACCCTCCAGCTAGAGGACGCGCTGGGGCTTGCTGGTCTGGCGACCCAGGAGCCCAGCCCCTCATCGCGGCCGCCCTTCGCCTTCCCTCCCCTCGGACCGCGCCAGCCTCGGGCTTCCTCCCCGGGGGCTGAGTCCACGGGCAGCGGACACAGGGAGGCCTAAAAGGCCCCCTGGACCGGGGGCGGCTCCCCGGTGAAGGAGGCGGGCGCATGGAGCACAGGGTCCGGACTCTTTCCGGAGACTGGGCCGAGGGCTGGGGCTGGCTTCCAGGAGTCGGGAGCAGGTTGGAGGCCCTTTGTTGGGAAGGGAAGTGGCAGGCGTGTGCCCAGTTCACCGAAACGAGTGCAGAGTCGGGCAGGAGACCCAGGCGTTCGGGAAGCAGGTGTCCCGAGGTGGGCGGGCGTCTATAATTCCATAAACAAAGAAACTGGGCAGCTCATCCCCGGAACTAGGGGGTGGTGGGAAGACCGCTAAAAGAATCGCCGACAATTTCCTTCATAAAAATGCGATCTGAGAGCATTTGATTTCCACTTTCACTCCCCCCCGCCCCGACACACGCACTGTCTCCAAAGACACTCAAATTGCAGCCATATGGGGCTAAAGTAATAGGAAGCAGTTACCTTATTTACTGCAGTGGCGGCGCACTCGAACCTGACAGCCGCAGCCGAGGACCGCCGGGCAATGAAATTAAGAGCAGAAGGTTCTTGTTCTTTGAAACTCTGTTTTGTTTACACCCAAGGGTGCACGAGGGAAAAGCAATTATCTAACTTTGAAGGATAAACGAGGTTATGTGGAGGAAAGAAGGGAGGTGGCGAGAACTGAGTGATGGAGGAAGGCAGGTTCAATAAGAAAGGTGGAGAGCGGGGGTTCCTTCTTCCCTTGGCTTCTAAGTGTCACCGGCGGATCACTTTAAAAGTCTCAGCGGGAAGGACGCCTCTACCACCCCACGCTAGCCCCCTCTCCCGGCAAGTACAGGCATTTTTCTTCACCCAACAGAGAGGCCCCGGCTCTGGGTCGTGCCAGACTACAAACCTATTTCTCAGACTGCCGCCTCTCAGTCTCCAAACTGTCGGGGAGTTGAGGTCGCCCAATGACTGGCGCTCACACCTTCCGCAGCCCTGCTCCCTCACGCCCAGCAGGCAGCAGTGCGCCGGCCAGGGGCGAGACACACCCCCGCCACTAAGTTGGGGGTTGCATTCCCCACCCCGCGGGACTGAGTTTCTCTGCAGCGGACAAGAACTGGGCTTGGTCTGATTGTTCTTAGATTATTCTATGCCTCTCGTTTCCTTCTGGATCGAGTTCCACCTTTGCTATAGGTGCTGCAGGAAACCCGACGTTTGAAAACTCAGACAGCTCGCAAGCGCTAAGCTAATTTTGTTCAGAACAAGTGTTTTTGCCACCAGACACAAAGACAGGCGGGAAAATGCGACGGGGAAGCAAAAAAAAAAAAAAATTACTAAATACCCCTCCGGAGGAGGGGGCCATGCACGGCAGCGCTGGGGTTTTCATTTCCCACTTGAAGCTTCGGAGGCACTTAGGCAAGGAAGAAAAAAGAGAGTGAGAGAGGGAGGGAGAAAGAGAGAGAGGGAGAGAGAGAGAGGGAGAGAGAGAGAGAGGGAGGGAGAGAGGGAGGAGGGGGAGGGGGAGGGAGGGGGAGGGGGAGAGGGAGAGGGAGGGGAGAGAGAGGGAGAGGGAGGGAGAGAGGGAGGGGGAAGGGAGGGGGGGGAGGGAGGGAGGGAGGGAAGGAGGAAGGAAAGAAAGAAAGAAAGAAAGAAAGAAAGAAAGAAAGAAAGAAAGAAAGGAAGGAAGAAAGAAAAACACTGGGAGGGAGGAGCTGAGCTAACTTTTTCAGCGTGAAACTGATACCATCGACCTCTGCACGCCTCGTGCAAACTCCGGGTCTGTAAAGGCACCCAACGCAAACATAACTCCCGGGAACAGGGCTCCAGAAACCCTATCAGAAGGGAAACCACCACTCTTCTCTGGCGCAGGCCAGCTTGCGAGGGGTGGGGGAAGGCGGGGGGTAGCGAAGCCGGTCCGTTCCTCCAGCCCGATCGGGACAGGCTCCCTCTCTTCGGCTCCAAGGTGGCCCTGGGGCTGCCCGGGAATTCGGGCGGCCGGTGCGTGGCTGGGACAGCCTGGCAGCCGTCGCCCACAGCGGGCAGCGGATTCCAAGCGGGTGCGGGCGGGGTGTGCAGAGCGACCCGGGCCCAGGGCGGAGGGTGGGCTTTCTCTGGGCGGGGAAACCAGACACTTATAGGCGGCTGAGGCCGACTTTATTTTTACTGCCCAAACTGTTGGAAAGTATTTAAGCTTAAACAGAAACAGCTGTATCGCTGGCACCGGCCAACGAAACTATTTGTTACCGGGAATGACTTTTTATGATTAAGGACGCGGCCGTCGGCGGCCTCTCGCGGGCAGCCCGCGCGGGTCGCCAGAGCGATCTGGGCGTCGCCAACTCGCTGTTCGCTAATAAGACCAAATGGCCAGAGAGAGGAGACTGTACACCTAAAGCCCACCTTGTAAAGTTTGAGCAAGGCCAAAAACTGGAACCCCGCGTTTTCAGGGGTGGGGGCGGGGAGTGGCAGGGAGGGTGGGCCGGGAGCCGCGCCTGTCCCGCGCTTCCAGGACGCGCCGCTCTCGCCGCGCACCTAACTTTGGACAGGAGGCCGGTTTTCCGCTCTGGGCTTTCTGCCCTTTCGAGTCAGACTCCTTGGCTCGCCTTTCCTTCTCTCTCTCTCGTTCTTTCTTTTTTCTCTCTTCCACCACATCCCTCGCCAAGGGAAACTGCTTCCAATCAAGTTTATCAGCGATGTTTTAACTAAATCGTGGGTTCCGAGGAGTAGGTGCTGTTACTTGCAGCTTGGTTGGTAAGAGAAAAGTGTTGGGGATTGCTGGGCCCGGACTTGGGCTGCTGTCCCCGCCGCCGCCGCCCCAGCCACGGGTCACCTCGAGCTGAACAGGAGCTTGTGTTTGCGTGTGTGCAAACTCGAGGCTTCTAGGGCCCGGCCCTCGCCCCCTTTCCTGGACCCCGCCATTTTCGCCCCTCTCCCTCAACCCGCACTAGACCCCGCGACGCTCCCCGGGTTTTCTCGTGGAGTGTCTGCCACGCACGTTGGGAAGAGCTGTGGAAAGGAAGTGCGCGGCGCAGGCCCAGCGGGTCGCCCGGATCCGGGGGAAGCAGGACGCTCCCCCAGCCGCGCGCCCCAACCCCAACCAAACTCCAGACTCTGCTTGGTGGTCGTCCATGCCCTCCCCCAACACACCCAGGCCCGGGGCACGGAGCGGCTGGGCTGTGGCTGGCGACCCTTGGGGCCAGGGCCTGGCGGGGACGAGCAGCGCGGGCTGGCGGCACAGGCAGGTGGCTGCGGGCGTCTGGGACGGGTGGGGGGGGGCAGGAAAAAGGCGCGCAACGCCCCCCACGGGATCCCGGGGTGTGGGAAGGGTCGGACGGCAACAGCGAGCCGCCACTGGGTCTGCATTCGGCTTCCAAGCTGGGGGCGAGCGCTCGAGCCCAGCCCGGCTCGCAGGGCCCGGAGGGTGGCCGAGGGCAGGGTTGCGCGACAGGAGAAGGAGACGCAGGCACATTGATTTGTTAGCGGGATGGGGCTGGCGGCGGCGGGGGAGGCCGTTGCCATGGAGACCGAGGGTCGGCTGTGCAACTCGGGGGGAGGGGGCCGGGTGGAAGAGCTGGCAAGGGGCGCGTCGCCGGCTCTCGGGGTTCGGGCGCGGCCTGCGGCGCCCCAACACCTGTGCATTGTGCATTGTGCGGCGCGGGCGGCGGCGGGGGGAGGAAGGGCGCGAGTCCGGGCGGTGGGGGTGGGGCGGGCTGGGGGTCGCTGAGGGGGCGTGGCCTGGCTGACACCACCGCAGGGGTCCCAGCGAGAGCTGTGAGGGACGCTGAGCACCGGAGGGACATCTTGGCGGCGGGAAGGGGGCCCCGGCGGGGACAGAGGGTGGACAGCCCCCCTGCCAGCCCAGCAGACTGACAGCGGCCGAGCCCGCCCTCCATGCGACGTCATTTCCGGCGGCGGCCTCTCCCCCCCCCACCCCCCCGGCAGCGCTCTGTCTCCGGAGTCGCTTCGGACTCCGCCCCCTGGCGATTGGAACGCGGGTCACGTAGCAACGCGGGGGAGAAAGCGAGAGGGGCGTGGCCCGCAGCTCGCCCAATCAGAGCGCGGGAGAGCTGGCCCTGGCCGCTCGGCTTTAGCAACGTCGTTAGCAACACGTGGGGCGGGAGGAAGAGTGGGGAGAGAAGGGAGGAGGGAGCCGCGCGCGGGAGGGGGTGGGGAGGGAGCGAGCGCGCGGGAGGGGGAGGAGAACTGACGTCAGCGGGAGAGTATTATGGTCTGTCGTGCGCTGGCTGCTGCTTTTCTGCTCCTGGAAGCGGCCAAGGGGGGAAGCGGCGAGTCAACATGGAGCTTTCAGCGGTGGGGGAGCGGGTGTTCGCGGCCGAAGCCCTCCTGAAGCGGCGCATACGGAAAGTAGGTGCCCCCAGGCCTTGGGCCGAGCCCTCCCCTCCCGGCCCGGGTTCCCTCCCCCTGCTGCAGCCCAGCTTCCCTTCCCCCAGGTCCCAGCAGCGGCCGCGGCCGTGGCGGCGGCTCTGAGCCCAAGCGCTTTCCTTAGACTTGCAGCGATGCACAGATTGCATGGGTGGGGGGTGGGGGGCGGGGTGGGGGGAATGAATGCCGGTGCATGCACTTTGTGCAGCGTTTCGTGCAGGGGGTGATGCAGCGGGCGCTTGCCTTTTGCGGTGGGATTTCGCGCATTCATTCGGTGCATGCATTTTTTTGCATGTATTTCTCGTGTCCTCGTCATGCATTTTTCCCCGTGCACACATACATTTTCCTTTTTACATCCTCAGGGACGCATGGAATACCTCGTGAAATGGAAGGGCTGGTCGCAGAAGTAAGTAGGTTCTGTGCAATTCTCAACCCCAGACTGTTATTTGGGAGCTTGCTTTCTTCCTCTTTTTCCCTTTACGTTGAAATACAATACAATGCAACAAGAAAAGTTACAGACATACACACACCTACCCGCGGCTCTTTCCCTGCTCCCGGGACTGATGCCCACTTCTTCCTGATTCCTTTTAGGTACAGCACATGGGAACCTGAAGAAAACATCCTGGATGCTCGCCTGCTCGCAGCCTTTGAGGAAAGGTAGAGGCCCCTCCAAGCTTCGGCTTCTCACTTAGAACACGAAGGGTGGCTCCTAACCAGCTTGAACTGGAGGCCCACTTGGTTTCTTTACTCACACACCCCTTTCTTCCTCCTTCCTTTCTGCAGGGAACGAGAGATGGAGCTCTATGGCCCCAAAAAGCGAGGACCCAAACCCAAAACCTTCCTGCTCAAGGTAGGATGGCAGTGTCCAATGGTGGGCAGCAATGTTATGTCAGTTTGTGGGAAGCGGGCCCTGAGGGCTTGTGAACCAGTGGGGTGTCCTATTTGTAATCTAGGAGGGAGTCCCCAGACAGGCTGTCACCAAGTCACTGGCACTGGTAAGCGTGTCTTGAGGGGAGGGGTATTCTAGAATTCCACACTAGAATTCCTTTATCGGACCCCCCAGCCATCCCAAATAGACATATAATCAAATACAAGAAGTGTGCTTTGTGTGGATGGCTGCTTCCAGATAGATCGTCTACTCCTTCCTCCAGACTGCTGCCCCTAAGCTTCACCCCAACCCATATAGAAATCCCAAGGCATCAGAGTGTAGCAGGGAGGGTGGGGCTGGAAGAGGGGTGGGGAGGTGGGGGCGGTGGACAGGGCCCTGCTCTGCTCTTGACACTGCATTCTCTTCTTGCAGGCCCAAGCCAAGGCAAAGGCCAAAACTTACGAGTTCCGAAGTGACTCGGCCCGAGGCATTCGGATCCCCTATCCCGGCCGCTCACCCCAAGAACTGGCCTCTACTTCCCGGGCCCGTGAGGGCCTTCGGAACATGGGTCTTTCGCCACCGGGGAGCAGCAGCACCTGCCGAGTGGAGCCCCCTCGGGACCGTGATCGAGAGAGGGAGAGGGAACGAGAGCGTGAACGGGGTGCTAGCCGCACAGATGACAAACCCAGCTCGCCAGGCGACAGCTCCAAGAAGCGAGGTCCCAAGCCCCGGAAAGAACTCCTGGACCCCTCACAAAGGCCCTTGGGAGAACCCAGTGATGGCCTTGGAGATTACCTCAAGGGCAGGAAGCTGGACGACACTGCTTCCGGGGCAGGAAAGTTCCCAGCTGGCCACAGTGTGATCCAGCTGGCTCGAAGGCAGGACTCGGACCTGGCCCAGTGCGGTGTGGCCAGCCCCAGCCCGGCTGAGGCCACGGGCAAGCTGGCTGTGGACACCTTTCCAGCCAGGGTCATAAAGCACAGGGCCGCCTTCCTGGAGGCCAAAGGCCAGGGCACCCTGGACCCTGGTGGCCCCCGGGTCCGGCATGGCTCAGGCACCCCCAGCTCTGTGGGGGGTTTGTATCGGGACATGGGGGCCCAAGGGGGAAGGCCCTCCCTCATCGCCAGGATCCCAGTGGCCAGAATCCTGGGGGACCCAGAGGAAGAATCCTGGAGCCCCTCTCTGACCAACTTGGAGAAGGTGGTGGTCACCGACGTGACCTCAAACTTTTTGACCGTCACAATTAAGGAAAGTAACACGGACCAAGGCTTTTTTAAAGAGAAAAGATGAATTGCTGGGTGGGTGATCCCAGGACAAGAGAGCAGGAGAGAGAGTGAGAGTGCAAACTTGGCATAATGCTTTTTATTTCTGGGTGGGAGGTGGCCTTCTGGCTGGTCCTTTCCCATCCCTACCTTCACATAACCCCCTTCCTTTCATCCCTCCCCCTCAGTTTTGGTTGGAAAGATTATCTCTAGAGTTATATTTTCTATTAGATGTAAATATGTTATTTAAGAAAAAATATCTAAATATATATATTTCAACTCTTGAAGTTGTTTTATTTAAACGAGGAGAGAGAGAGACTCAGTGTGGTTCAGTTGGGGCAGACAGGCTGAGGTGGGCAGGAGGGGCCTGACAGCCACCCAGGGCACTAGGGAGGATGAAGACCTGGGCACTGGGCCTCTGATGGTGTCAGGAGAGACTCAGCCAGCCCACCTAACCCCTCCTCCCTTTTCCTACAGCCGCAGGTCAGACCCCTGGAACCAAGGCAGGACCCGGATTTTTTCTCTCTTCCCATTGGTGGGTCAGGCCAACAAAAGATTGGCTCCCCAATCAGAAAGGAAGGGGGTGGGGTCAGTCTTTTATTCTTTTTCCTAATTTTTTTTTTTTTTTAAAATAAAAAAACTGTTGCGGGGAGAAAGTATTAACTGGAGTAACATTTTGTGTGTGAGGTTAAAGGTAAAAAGTTGCGGGTGGTTGGGGAGCAGCAGATTTCTCCCAGGACCACACCAGAAAAAGCACTTTACGGGAGATGTGTGTGTTGTACACGCAGATCGGATCGTGTGTATGTCATGTGGACAAAATCTCCCAGTTCCCTCGATTCCTTTCCTTACTCCACAGAAAGAAAAGAAATCCAGCGAATCTGTTTACATTCCCGAAATGCCAGGATAAATTGGGAGGATTGCATGTCAGTGCCCAGAGTTCGAGGCGGTTCTTGTTTTACAAGAAAAGTGGTCGGGGGTGGACTTTTCCTTTTCGCGTCCTCTAGTTACGCCAGAAGAGACGGTGGCCCCCACCTCCCAGTAAGAGTTGGACTAGCCTCCCTCCCTCGGGGAGGGCGGGCCGCCAGCTCTCAGGAGAATGTATGGCCAGACAGGCCCACCCTGCGGGACCCACAGAGGGAGGAGCGGCTGGGAGCGGGGGCCGCAGCTTGGCTGGGAGTGCGATGGAGGGTCTGGGCTTGGGGCTCGGGGCTCGGAGCCGGCAGGACTCGCATCCCGGCGGTTTCGGCTGGGAGAGGGGAGGGGCGAGGGGAGGTTTCCATCCAAGAGTGCGCATCAGAACTTTTCCTTTTTTTTTTTTACCCCCTTAAAAGCAAAAGCTATAATTTATAGGCCTTTTCGATTCGCGGAGTGTTCTCTATTTGAACTCGACATTCAAACTCCGCCAGAGGGGGAGGAGGAGCGGGAGTTGGAGAAGAGACGGCTGGGGAGGCCTTGCGTGGCGGCGGGTCCCGGGACGCCCCCGCCCCGGCCGACTCCAGACCACGCTGTGCTCCAGGGTCGCAGAACGCACGCTCCTCTTTTGACTCAAAAGCACAAATCTGTCCCCCTCACATCCTGGTCCCTTCGAGGAATGATCCTGCGGCCTCCCCGCCCTCCCCCACCCTTAAAGGGCCAGCGGGGATCTAACTTCCCATTGCTAGTGGAGGGAGGGGCGAGGGGGCCCCGAGCCTTGAGAGGAAGCACAGATTCCGGGCGAGCGCGGCGGGGACCCGGGATTGAGGGGGGAAACTTCTCGATGCTGGGGGGACAGGGCGGGAACCCCAGCCTGGTTTCTCTTCCGCACTCCCCGTATTCCCACCTCCCTCTTCTCAGCCTCTCTCTCCTCCAGACTTTTGCCTTTGAAGTGAGGGGGTAAAAAAGAGGAAGACGGTGTACTACATGATTTTTTTTTAAATTATGAAATTGCGCCTGTAAAGAGAAGCCCCTGGAATGGGGATTTTTAAATGCTCGCGTTTGTAAAACTGGTATTTTAGACTTTGTATAAAGAAGCGCCGTTGACCAAGTGTATCTATTTAAATATCGACGCTATTTTCAGACGAAACTTCATTGACGGGACATGTCTGTTACCGAGTGGAAGGTCACTCCGGGACACGTGTCTTTACCTGGCTGCTGCCTTCCCTCCCTCCCTTCCTCCCTTCGCCCTCATCTCCCTCCCTCGGGGCTGACTTTGCCCCTTCCCCCTGACCTTTCCCAGCTAGCGTCGTTCTGCCCCACCGTCCCTCTGTCCTGCCGTCTGTCCGTGGCCATTCGCTCGTCTCTTTTACTCTCTTTTGCGACGCTGACCTGGGGGTGGGTGGGCAGGGCCGGGGCCGCGTGGCTGGGAGTCTGCAACCGCGCGGGATGTGTGCGTGTTGGGTTTATTTAATTCTAAGATTTGTACAAATCTCGACTCGATCTCCGCCTCAGCTCGAGTGAAGGTTGGCACCTATCTTCCGCGGTTGTGAATGTCTGTATCCAATACCGCTTTTTACATGTTTAAATATATACTTTGTAAATAGAGACGTGTCTCGGATTTTATTCCTTTTTGCTGGCCCTCGAGAAGAGGGAACAGGCGCCTCGCGGGGGAGAGGATCCTTCCCTCCTCGCTCATTTCCCATCCCACCCCCCTCTCTCGCCCTGTCGGCCCTGGACGATTCCGTTTCCAGTAGGCCCTTCCCCAACTGAGGGTATGCCAAACCCGGCGGTGGAGAGGGGTAGGCTTGGGAGGGAGCAGGATGTGACCCTTCTTAGTCTTCTATAAGGGGGATGGTCCTGGCTTTCCTCACCTACGGACTGCACTTCTCTGCGGCCTGGGCAGAACTCGGGGATCTCGGGAAGATGGGCCCGACCTCTGGGTTCCCTTTTCTTCTGGCAGGACTCCCGCAGCGCACCCCACCCCCAGGCCTGAGGTCCTGGTCCCTGACGCCCGGCGCCTCTGTGCCGCGCTCCCCCGGCTTCCCCGACAGCTCACCAGTGCTGTCTGGGGACCCGCCCCCCAGACCCACCTAGCCTCGCCAGCGCTCCCCGAAATGCAGCGCCTCGCGCCTATTGATTGAGGAATTGAGTTCGCGGGTATTGCTAGGCAACTGGCTGCTCCGAGCTGGCGCAGAGCGCGCTGATGTGATTAGTGAACCCGGAGCTGCCGCGGCGCAGCCCCGCGCCCCCGCCCCCGCCAACCCCCACTGCCTCGCAGTCTCCGGTCTTCTGGGGGGGCAACACCCCCATCGCTGGGCGAGGAACGGTCTGGGGTAGAGCAGAGCACAGGGTGGGGTGGGGGTTTCTCAGATTTTCCTGGCCGAAGACTGCAGCAATGGGGCGGGGTCGTGAAGCCGGCACAGAAGAGCCGCCCTTGGGACCCCAAAGAGGCCACCACATTGAGTTCACTTCCACCCCCATAGCCCTAGCAGACGTCGCCCCGTGGAGAAGCGCGGATCTAGGCGTACTTGGCAGAGCCCGAAGGGAGGCGTGTGGGCACGCGTAGGCTGGCGCATCTCCTGCTCTTGTCCATCGAATCGGTGACCCCACGTTTGGCGGAGCTCTCCCCGCCTCCTTTCTCTAGTCTGTGGCCTCTGTGAGGACCCGGGAGGGAGGGCGCGGCCAGGAGCCTGGGCTTGGGGCAGTGGGTCACCCTTCGGACGTGAGGGACTGGGCCGGCGGGCAGAGTCAGAGGGCGGGGAGTGGAGTGGAATGGCTTGGCGAGGGTCGCGGCGGGCGGCCAGCCCCAAAGCCGTGGCCCCGCTGCTCCACCAAGACTCCCTCCCGCATTGGGCAGCAGAGTGGGCTCGTGCTTTGGGAGATGGGGGGCACCGACTCTGCCCACTTTCCCCAGTTGTTTGGCCACCACCAGCCTCGGCTTTGATCTGGTGCTTTTCCCACGAGTTTCCGTTGCCTGGGCAGATCCTCTGGGAAAGAGACCAGGTGTGGAGGCCTGGGCCTGTGGTGCTGCCTCCGGCTGGGGCATTCCTTTGCCTCCGGAGGGCAGGGCCGCCTCGTGGGGCCGCCGCCAGCGCGGAGCCTGGCCCAGCACACACACTGGTTGAACTGGAATCTTTATGGCTCTTCGGAGAGCGTCGGGTTGGATTTTTTTTGGTCCCTTTGATGCTTAACAATACAGATGCTAGTCGAGGCCCCGTGCTGTATGCAGGAGACCCAATGGCGAACAGGCCTGCCCTCGCACTTTGGGGGCTTGTATTCTGATTTCCTCTTCTCACCCCAAAGTCCCCTGGGACCAGAGGGGTCCTTCGGTCCAGCTGGAGTTCTAGTTGGAGCGTCTCAGGGCTTGCTCGGGCTCTACCTCCAACCTTGGGAGCCTGGACACGGCGAAAGAGGCTGTGGCCTGGGGCCGGGGCTTTCTTCGTGAGACTTTGGAAACGGAGGCTGCTGGGGGGCATCTCAGAGCGGTCGGGTTGCGGGTCGTCCAATTCGGTTCCCCTTAGCAGCTCGGAGCCCCGGGGTGGGGAATGCTCCCCGCGCGTCCAAAGAGCCCTCGGCCCGAGCTTCGCGGGTCGCGCGCGCCCTCTAGAGGCGATGGCCTCAGCCCCGCTCTCTGGCGCCCACCCCCTCCCCGGCGGCGGTGCCTTTCTGGGTCCCAAAAGGAGAAGGAAACGCCTCATCTCCCCTACCCAAAAGTACTCTAGAGTGGGCCACCGCGGGCTCCCCCTCTGCGCCCTCCCTTCGGCCAGGCCCTCCAAACACAAAGGTAGGGAAGAAGGATGTGTCCAGCCCGCCAGATCCACCAGGCGCCCTCGGGCTGGACCAGGAGGCGCGGGGCTGAGCCCCCGGGATGCCGGGGGCCAGGTCGGGCCCCTTGGCAGCCCAGCCCATTATTCTGGGAAGGCGGTGGATTAGGCGATCAGATCAGCAGCGCAGAAACTAACAAAGGCCAGTGTGGGTCAGGGCCCCCCCTCGTGCACGTTTGCCCGGCGCTCTGTACAAGTGGACTCGGGCCCGCCACCGGGAAGGGCGCGGGCTCTTACTCCCTCTAGCCCGCTCTTTCCCGGCCATCCCCAACCCCTTTCTGCTGCTCTCAAAGGCCGAGGACAGGACAGCTAGGGTCGTCCCTGCCCACCTCCTCCAAAAGAAAGCCGCTCCAGCCACCGAAGGCACAACAAAAGAAAACATGCCAGCAGCCTTCCCTGCAAGAATCTGATTTCAAATTCGCAGGGCGAATTCTGGAGCCGGGCAGAGCTGAGGGGGGTGCATTGCTGTTTGTATTGGGAATCTCCTCCCGAACTAAAACATTCAGGCCTTCGCCCCAACTAGCCTTTCAATCAGTGGTGGCCAACATCCAGGCCCAACTTCTCTCTTTACTTCAAAGGGAGCTTCATTCTCCCCAGAGGCTGAAATTTATGAATAAATTCATGCTGAGGGTAATGCAAACCTTAAAGGACCAGGGAAGGTTATATAATAAGCAAATCATCTCTTTATTATGAGCCATGGGTTAGGAGTCGCAGTAGCACCACTGATTCAGTTTCTTGTGCTTCATGGCAACTCCCCTGGAATTTTATTGCTCTGTCCTTTAGAAGTGTTACCACATGTGGTGGATTCAAGGGGTTAAGCAGCTTTCCAACCCAGTATCATTGGATACTGGGTGTGTGTGTGGAAATTTTGTTTTAACCTAAAGTGTTAGTTTCTGGGAGATGTCTCAGTGAGTCTATAATGTATTGCAGCATCCCTGGCCTCTACCCACTAGACGCCAGTAGCAACAACACTCACCCCTGCCCCCGAGTTGTGGCAACCAAAATTGTCTCCAGGAATTGCCAAATGTTCCCTTTGGTGCCAAACTGCCCTCCCTGGGAAATTCTGGTGTAGGGACTCATGATCAACCCCACCTCTTTGCTTAGAAGAACATTTTTTTTTTCCATCCCAGGAAAGTGGCTGAGCCTTTCCCAAAGCCTGTAATTTTTTCACCCCATGATTCAGTTCAAGTCCAGATAACTATTTTGCCTCAAGAAAGGGAAAGTGAAGAGACTGTTGTTTCCAGGTATCACTCATGACATACACCAGGCTGAAAAGTTAAGAAAAGAATTTATTGATATACTAAGAGTTAACAAAAAGTTAAGGCAAAAATCCTGACACCTTTGCTAATGACTCTCCCCTGCAAAATAAATTAACATCAGTCTAAAAAGATCTGCAACCTATTGCTAGCGTTAGTTCTCCAAAAATCCTAGAAGATCCACAGAATCTTTAGATGCACTTGAGCAAAAATCTGGTCCTCTAGGCGCTACCTCTCCCCTCCTCCCACCCCTTTCCCCCAAACCATTGTGGGTTTCCTGGGGGAAGCATCTCCTTTAACTGGTCCTGATTGAATATGGGGGCTGGGCTGCTGTGCTGTTTCAACAAAGATCTTAAGTTTCCCAGGGCAATAACATATTCACTTTTGTTCTCTTTTAAAAAAAGCAAACAAACAGCCACACTTTAAAGTAATTAGAAGTGGCATACATGAATAATTTGGCTTTTTTTTTAAATTAAAAAACACAAATCAAGCCAGTAATTGGCAATGGTCCAAAGCTCTGGTTCTCCCCCCTAGTTTCCCCCTAATAAAACCTCTAGGCTCAGAGCTCTCTTAGTCAGGTCAGAATCTTGAGTGTAACCAAAAACAAGGAACACTCTTTTTGGTACCAAAAAATATATATAAAAATATGCCAAATCCTCTCAAGAAGAAGATAGACTGGCCCCTTCTTCCTATCCATTACAAAAGCAAACAGAAAAACAGGATTGAAACACCCACTCAACATACACTGTGATGCAGTTCGCATAAGAAACCCTGCAGGATAAACAAGTCAGATGTGTGACCAATGCCTAGCCACACACACACACACACACACACACACACACACACACACACAGCAGCAAAAAAAGTACTACTTTTATTTATTGGTAAACATGACGACCAACTCTGAGCACCTGTCCAACTCTTCAGCGAAGGCTGTCACGCCTGCACGTGTGTACACACACAAACATGAACCTCTTGGAGTCGCAAACACCAAGAAAGACACACAACACAGCAAGAAGGCAAAGTGGCTGGGAGTAAGGTGTTTGCAGATTCAAACTTTGGGATTGAAGTAGCTGGTAAACAGAAAGGCACCTAATCAGGGTTTGGAGACCTGGCTGCTGGGGCTGTCACATCAGCCCAGATCAGGGTCACCCTGAGGGCTTGCAGGGGAGAGCTGCTACTGGCCTGGCTCTGCAGCCTCTAAGGCAGCAAAACTTGGAGGTTATGAGCTCCTTTGAGGGGGAGGCAGCCCAGGAGAGCCCCTTTAGTCTCACCCAGGGACATCTGGGGACAGGAGGGGAGGCTGGTGCCAGGGGCCCAGGGTGCTGGCACCCCTTCCTTCCAGACTGTGCAGTGCACTGGCATCTCGCCATCTCCTGCGGGGGCAGTGGAGGGGGCATTCTCCCCCTTTACTGTCCACTTTCCAGTTTCAGCCTGGCTGTCCAGGATCCCCAGTCCTCAGGTTTGCCAGGGTGGGCACCACTCCTGCTGCAGCCAGCGTGGCTATCACGTAGAGGAGTTGGAAGCTGCATCTGGATGCCCCTCAACGAGGTCCTGGATGTGATCTGTCCCCAAAGGCACACTGTTGAAATCGATTTGGCTACACAAAAGCCATCTCTTCCTATTTGGCGCGGAGGGTGAGGGACTGAGGGGACTGGAGTTCTGGCAGGCCCACCCTCAGAAACCAGAGCCCACTGTGTCCACTGCACTCAGGGCTATGGGGACAACAGAAGATCCCACACCTGCTCGCTGATGTTAACCGATAATTGAAGCAGAAATTAAGTTCCCTGCATTCCCACTTTTTTTTTTTTGGCATAAAGACCAGTGACCCCACTCACTGATGTACCTCTCTGCCCCAAATCAGTAATGGCAATTCTGTTGTTGGTTGGAATTGCCAAGACAGCTGACGGACTCAGCCATCTGGGGGGAGGCAGTCGGGCTGGCAGCTCTGGCCTTTCCGAAGGCCAGGTGGGTCACTCAGATTTTGTCCCATTTCCAAAATGGTACAGGGATACAGCTTCTCAGCTGGGTAAGAGAACATGGAACCCCCAGAAGTGGGGAGGGATTGTCAGGGGAAGGTAGGTGGGAACTGTGGGAAGCACCTGCACAGCAGCTGGAAGCCAGCGGATGTCGGGAAGGGGGACCTACTGCCAGCAACTGCCCACCTCCCAGTGGATCTGGGGCAGTTTGTGGGGCCATGATTAGGACTAAGACAGTCCTTGAACAGGCTGGCAGAAAGGAAGGCAGCAGCGGCCCCTGACACTTGGAGGTTTAGGTGGAAGAGCTCTGGGATCAGCCCCCTCCCTGCCCATGCTGGGCTCGAGTCAGCATCTGGGGGCTGCTGTTGTTAATCTGAATCAGGGTTAGATGGCACCAACACCAACCTCTTCAGGGTTCCTGATCCCAACTGCCACACCTGTCCTCTTACATTAAGGAAACAGCCCTCATCTGTCCCGGGTGGGGTCAGGGACAGGGAGGTGGACAGTCCCCTCACCCTTGCCAGCTCAGGCATTGCTGAGGGGGGAATTCCGACCAGAAAGGCCCCTTTCCTGCTCCCCCTACCCTTCCACACACTGAGCAGAGTCCTCCCTGGAGCAGCTCCCCAGGCCTTACCTCCCCCCAGCCCTAAGTACACCTTCTCTTCCAGCCGCTGGGCAGAAACAGCCAAGCTGGGCCAGAAGCCCCCTCCTCTAACACCTGTGCTCTGGGAAATTGGGAGGCAAGGTGACCACCGTTGTCATCACAGGCCACGGAGGCAGTTCAAACAGCGAACATGGTCGGGCTCAAGAAACACAGGATGCTCTTGAGAAACATTTCGCTGAGCCACAGGCGGCCACCTAGACTTCCTGAGGCAAATGGAGAGCAAAGCGAAGGCCCAGAGGTAGGAACAAGGGCGAGGCCGGGTGGCAAGGCATCACGGAGCCTCCCCTGCCAAGTGGCAGGCAGGGCTGGGTCCAGGGGAGTTCCCATCCAAGCCTGCCCTTGAAGGAGGCCACCGGCCCCTGGACAGGGTTTGGGATGCGGGCCATGTATCAAAGCAAAGCCAGAGGCCAGAGAGGGGAAGGTGAGACCCGGGCAGCCAGGGGGTGTCAGTAATGTCTCAGGTTGAAGAAGCCCACGCTGGTGGGAGACTCCTTCACCGTGACTGTGATGAGGTTGGCGGTGACGTCGGTGACGAAGACGTGCTCAATGAGGCTGCGGGTGGGCTTCCAGTCCTGGCTGGTTTGGACGGACACTGACAGGTTCTGTCCGGCACTGGGCAGGGAGGCAGAGTCAGGGTCCGAGTCGGAGCTGCTGTTCTCTTCGCCAGTGCTCATCTCAGACAGTGTAGCTGTCTTCCGCACCTCTGCCGGAGTCGGGTGGCCCTCCTGCCCTGGGGCCATGCTGCCCTTGACGAAGTCCCTCTTACCGGCAGGGGTGGGCAGGGCTGCTGCCCTGGAGGCCAGCTTCTCACTCTTGCTGGCGTCGGTGGGCAGACCAGCCCCACTCACCGCAGTGAGGCCACCCCCGGCACCCTTCCCAGTGGCTGGGTGGGTGGCAGGGTTACCCTTGGTGGTTGTGGCATGGCGGGCGACCATGCCCAGCCCTGGTGTGCCGTTCTTGACACTCTGTAAGTCCAAGACCTGGAGGCTCAGCTCCTGGGTGGGTGCAGGCTGGGGGCCCAGGCACCCGGCAGGGACCTTGTTGCCACTGTGGACGTGTGGAGGCCCTCCTGTGCCCCCCACTTTCTGCTCCAGAGCACCACTGGGGGCCTTTGGGACTTTGCTTCCCGGGGGGCTTATCCCCAGCTCCCCCTTCTGCGTCCTCACCTTCAGGTCCAGCCCTAGGCTGCACTTGTTGGCAGTTGGGGCCCTGAGAGCCAGTCTGCCAGCGGCCTGGGCCTGGCTCTGGCTCATCCGGTTCATGTAGTGCACGATGGAGCTCTGCCAGCTGATACCACCCCGGTTGGGGCTGCCGGCCATGCCCTTCATCAGGCTGGCCAAGTTCTCCGGGGTGGCCATGGTGCTGGGGCCACTGCAAGCCTCCTTGGCATGGGCCTTCAGGGCTGCCAGGCCGGCCACGGGGGCACTGAGCGGGGGGGGCAGCTTGCCGGCCGGTGCCCCTAGGTCCTTCCGGGCCGTCTTCAGCACCTTGGCCAGGCTCACGGGCCTCCGGGCCGCCTTCTGCTCTGGGGGCAGGGGCTTGCGGCCCCGCTTCTTCCGGATGGGATCCTTCAGTTCGGGCTTGGCTACCAGGATCTGGGCCTTCTTTTGAGGCACTGGGTGAGTCTCACGGCCCCGGGGGCCCCTCTTGGCGTCTAAGTCGCTGTCATCCTCTTCATCTGAGGAAGATGAGGAGGACGTGGAGGAAGAGGAGGAACTGCTGGATTTGGATTTGGAGGGGGCGTCGGGTTCCTGCAACGACAAAGGGGAAGGTGTCACTTCTACAGCCTGGTCTCCAGGGGCATCAGACACCTTGGAGCCAGCCCCTCCTGTGGCTTCCACACCCGAGAGGCAGCCAGGAGGGAGCGATCTCACTGTTTGGTTCCAGAAAGGACTGAAGAGGTCCTTACGAGGTCCCAAGAAATGCAGTTAAAAGTGAAAGAGAACAAAGAAAAATAGGTGGTTCACAAAGTGAAGCCAGAACGATGGAGGGAAACGCTCACATGCTGACAATGGACGCCGAGCTTTCCAGGGACGCACGGGGAGCTCCTGGCCCTCGGCAGACACCTGGAAAAGGGAAGTTCAGAGCAGCACGATTCACGTGTCTCAGAAGGGAAGGGTGGAGTGAAGCAGTGTGTGTGAGAGCTTGGTAACCTAAAGCAACTGGATATCTTGCTTCCATCTCCCCATTTCCAAAGCTGACCCCTTCAGAACCTTCCAGCACATAGGAAAACAAACCACTGCCCTCCTCATCCTCTGGGTGTCATCCCTAACACTAATGAAGCACACCTTACTATTTCTCAGGTCCCTGTGTAAGAAGTGTGCTTTAGGTAGACAGAGCCAACACCTGCTCCCGGTCGCAAAGCTCGCCTGCCCCGAACTGGGGATGATGGAATCAAACCCAGGGAGTCTGGGGCCTCCCTGACTGGCTGGCCCCCCGCCTTGCTGATGTTCCTCAACGTACATGTCCCACATTCTCCTGCAGTAAAGCTGACTCCTCCAGCCCCACTATCCTGCTCAAAAAGAACATTTTGAAGACAAAACCAGGCCAGCGTACCCTAGCCAATAAGGCTCACGGCAGGGTTCTCAGCCTCCTGGAAGGGCAGTTTTGTAAGAAGTGACTGAGCTCCTGGCCAGTGTGTGGGTTCAGGCCCCGGGGGCAGTGCCTTCAAGAGAGAAATCAAAGACACATCTAAGACTGAGGCCAGGACCCCTTCCCCATCCTGCCTCTGAGCTACTGGAAGGAGGGGCTGTGCCATGGAGCCCAGGCGTGTGCCCCTCTTAGCTGCGCCTACCTGGCAAACCTATGAGCACCTACTGTGTACATGCTTCCTGTTTTTTGTTCCCTGTAAGCCAATGGAGGTGAGAAAGTAGCAGAGTGGACGTCACAGGACCAGGAAACCAGCTTGGGGGGCTTAACCATTGCAGGGCCCTCCCCAGAGAGACAGGGCAGGAGGTGGAGAGCTGAGGTTTGCTGTTGCCCCCTGCTGGCAGAGGCTCACAGCGGCAGCCTAGAGAGAGGCAGAGTCAAGGTCTTCTGAGCAAGGGAAAGACTTGGAGGTGCCAGCTGGCCCCCTTCCCCAAAGCCCGCAACCCTCCCGCCACTGCCTTCCACTCAGCCGGCTGAGGGCCACTGCTGGGAGGGGAGCAGCCACCCACCTTAAGCTTGGAGTGCCGGCTGCAGGGGGACATCACCGTGTGCTTCCTCGGCCTGCCCCTGGGCCGCTTGCCTCTCTTCCGGTTCTGCACCTCCTTCTCGTGTTCCCTGAAGACAATCAGCAATCAGAGTCACAGACTTTCCTTCTGCCACCCTGGAACCCCGTGGTTTCAAACACCCCCAGGTAGCTTAGCACCAGTTTCCCTGCAAAAACATATCCTGTTAATTAACACATCCAAGGCAGAGGTCCAGACCCCCCTCTTTGCATTAGGGGTCAGTATTATTTTTACCTCCATCTATTTCATTTACCTTTGGGTAAAGTCAAGTCACGAAATTCAAGTAAAGCTGGGAAAGGAACGGTTCCCAGTTTTCTCCGACTTCTCTTAAAACCCTGTGCGAATCCTGGCCACTTTCTGCAGGGAGATGATATTGTGGAAATTCTACAATACCACAACTAGAAGGAGGCTTTGTGCTCACGTGGTCCAACCCCCTCACTCCAAGTAAGAGAGTCCAGAGGTAGGGAGGTGAGGACCACTGCCCCCCATTCTCAGTCTTCTAATGCCCGCACAAAATCTCACGGTCGTCAGAGCACTGGGGTAACCAAGGGCTCCCGGTCCCCACACGGTCTACCCAGAGCCAGTGCCCCTGGCTCACATTTCTTTTCTGGTTTCCTCTTTCTAAGCCCTTTCTGTTCCTAGACTCTGCTCTAGATGGAAGTACTGGTGACGCCTGATTCCGAGGTGGCCGGGGCTCAGGGTTCAAGGCAGGACACCATTAACCAGCTCCATGACTTGGGGTCAGGGAGCCAAGAAAGCCACCTCCACCCACCAGCCCCAAAAGCCTCTATTCCAGGCTACCCCCGGGGAAGAGGCTCTATCTGGAGCAGTTTCCTGGTAATCAAAATGGGCAAACATCATTGCATTGAGGCCTGTAAGGTGATCTCTTAAAGAAGACAATTAGTACAACGAGACAGAGCTCATACTCAAAGCAGCCCCAACCTGTCTCCTAAAAGAAGAGGAGTCTCCGCTGACACATTAACCTGTACCCGTGAGCTCTGAACCTGAGACTTCCCCTTACAGTCAAAGGTCACATCCCCACACCAAGCAAATCACCACCAGTTCCTAGTTCCCAGGGGGATCTCTGGGGTGGACAGGAAGGCAGAGCACCCACTTTCCCAGTTTTCTCTCCCCCGTGATGTAAACCAGACCACCCCATGGTTCTTTGTAACTGCTGCATCTATCTCTCTGGTGTTTGCTAACCTCAGTTCCTGTCTGCTGTGCTGTAAGTAAAAGTGACGTTAAGGACACACACTCTCTCGACGGTCAGGACACTGTCTTACAGAGAAAAGTACCAGCTCCCACCCTCTGCGACTTACAGGACCTGAGTTATGGAGTAAACAGCAGACAGCTTGCTCATAAGCTTCTTCAAAGGTACCGAGGCAAGCATATGCTCGATGTATTTTCTCTCACCCCCCCCCCACCAAAATCTATCTCTATTTTTCCCCATTGCTATGGCCCTTCTGAGAAGGCCCAAAACGTCCTGCTATAGTGAAAAAAAAGTGGACACAGCTTGAGCTACCAGAGAACAGCTGGCCGGATCGACCCCATCTGGGAAAGATTTTGAGCACCTAATTTATCAGCCTCTATCAACAGGGCAATCCCCACACCTTGCCCCCACCAGCCTGCTCTGAAACAGCACCCCCTGGAACCTTATGCCATCACATGCCCCTCACCACCCTTTCCCCTGAGTATCTCAAAGAGGTCTCTTTTAACCCAAGTCTTCTACCTAAAAACAGATATGACATCTAGAATTACAGAAGTAAATTCAGCCCTTGAGACTGGTAAAGGGGCCCCTGTGGTGCTCACTTGGTGCTAGCTGTTTTGCAGCAGAGAAAAATAAATGTGTTGTTCTTGGTCAGACACACCACAGTAGGCATAACTTTCTGCTGTGTGTCCCAGCTCCCTCTCTGAGCCTTCTCTTGCTCAATGGCACCCACGAGGAGGACTGGGAGGCCAGGTCTGCAATTTTTAGGGCAAACCTGCCATCCTTGTTTTTAACCAGTGCTGTTTGTAAACTAGTCAACAGAAAAGGCCAAGAAGAGAAGCCAGAACTTTTCACGAAGGAACCAAGAAGGTTCATTTTGGCAAATCCGGCTGTCACAAAGACCAAAAGCAGCACTTACTCAGTGACTCCCAAGGTCTGGGCACAGTGCTGGCCAGCCGAGGGAAGGTGGGGAGAGGACTCATCTGGGACCTCAAACCACAGCCCAAGCCTGGGACTCCTGGAGCGCCATCACTGCCCTGTACGACTGTGTGACAGGCCAGGGTCCCCCCAACAGTCTCCCCCTCCCACAGGTCTGTTAACTTTCTCACTTCTTCTGGAAGGCCAAGAGCAGCCTCGGGTCCAGGATATTTTCCTCTGGCTCCCAGCTGTTGTGTCTGGAAAAGCAAAGAACAGGGCATCTTAAAGCACTAGGCACTGACCAGCTACTTCAGAAACAAGCCCAAGTGGGGTTGCCCCATTGCTCTCCGATCCCTGTTGGCAGCCAGGGCACCGGGGTGCTGGGGAGAGTCCCGAAAGGTCTCACCCACGCCCAGGACGAGCTCCTGGACACCAAACTCTTGAAGCCAACACCGTGTCCTCAAACTCAAAGGGAAATCACTACCTCAACCCCCAATTAACACCCGGCCTCAGGAGGACTCTACAGCCTCCCTCTGGAGGAAAACAAATCCCAATAAAATGGAAAGTTGCAGAGAGGGAAGACCCCAAACCCTGGTCCGGAGACAGGGAGGGAAGGGAAGGCTCCTTCAGGATGCAGGGAGAAGGAGGCCTAGGGGCACAGAAACGCAGCCCAAAGATGTTGCTGTCGCCCAGGCCTACGCGGGCCAGGAACCCGGAGAGTTAAGCAAAGAAAGAAAAGTGGGGTCCGGGAAGAAAGGGGAACTGGGTCTGCGCGATTGTCTGTAAATAGAGCCCCTTCCGGGATGCCAAGTCCCCTCCCATCCATTAAAAGAAAAAAAAAAAAAAAAAAAGGAGCCCTACATCCATGAATAGAAAGCTCAGGTTACAGCGGGGAAAATACGGACTAGAGGAGGGGGGCTCGCGTCCCGCGGGGAGGGCTGAGGCGGGCGGGGGCGCATGCAACAAATGGGCGCGGGAGGAACGCGCGGCGCCGGAGGGGCGCGGGCCAGGCGCCGGGAGAGGCGGCCGGGGCGCCGGGAGAGGCGGCCGGGGCGCCGGGAGCGGAGCTGGGCGGGCTGGAAGGGGAGGCCGCCCAGCCCTGCGACCCGCGGGCTTGTAAACAAAGGGCACCCTGCGCAGGCTGGGTGCCCCCTCCCGCCAGGCCCGAGGAGCCCGCGGAGCCCCCGCAAACTTCCCGCCCGGCGCGCGATGCCCCCCGACGGCGCGGCCGAGGAACCCCACGCCGCCCCCCCTTCACACCGAGGTGGCGCGGGCGGGAAGGCGGGCGCCGCATTGTTGGGGACTCACTTGGAGGACCAGCCACGCCACTTGACCAGGTACTCCAGCTTGCCCTGCAGGGAGAGAAGAGGCGCGTGAGCCGGGGTGGGCGGGCGCGGGTGGGCACGGGCCGGGCCGCACGCACCTTGCGGAGCCGCTTGCTCAGGATGCACTCGGCGGCGAAGACCTGCTCTCCCACGCTGCTCAGCTCCTCCATGCTGCCCCGCCCAGACCGCGGCACCCGCCGCTCCCCGCACAGCCACCGCCGCCGCGCGCCCTCCCGGCCGCACACAAAGCACCGCCCCCGCCCCGCGCAGGCCCGCCCCGCGCACGCGCAACGCTTCCGCGCCCCGCGCTCCCCAGCCCGCCACCAGCCCGTGCGGGCCGCCCTGTTCAGGCATGGGCCAATGAGCGCGAGGGGGCGGTGCCTGGGGGCGGTGCGCGCATTGTTCACGGCGGGACCAGCTTCGCGCCCCGGGCGGGGGTCCGGCGCGCCTGGTCTGGGTGGGTTGGGGCCGCGGGCAGCGCGCGTGGGTCAGCAGAGCGCGGGCGGGTCCCTCGCGGGGAAGAAGGAGGCGCCTTGCCTCTTCGGACCTGGCGATCAACAGTCGAGTCCCGCTTGGTCTCCGGGGTGCGCCTGGCCTCCTCCGAACTTCGTTTTCCGGGCAAAAAGCCATTGTTCTGCCCCGAAGCGGGGGGAAGTTGGGACGCGGCGAGGCGGCCGCTTCCTGCCTCTGTCCCCGAGGGGCGCTGCTTGGGGCGCGGAGGGCCCAGGCGCCCTCCGCATTTTTGAACTTGGTCTCCTTTGGTCTCGGGCAGTCGTACTATTTTGCGTGGGAGCAAAACGGGCTGGGGCGGGGGCGGGGAAGGAATGGAAGACAAAGTGCTGGGGGAGGAGGTGAGCGGCAAAAACGGAGCAGCCCAGCTTTTTATCTCAAAGGCGAGAGAGGAAAATGCATCTAGTGGAAACGAACGGCTCTTCGTTCTTTAAGTTGTGAAGAGTGGCACCCAACCCCCAAGTTTTAGGGCGCACGTAGGGGGAAAAGCAACTGCACCTTTAAAAAATTTATTTCATGATTTTAAGGAAATGAATGTGGAGGAGATGGGATTGGGATTTGAGGACATGGTTCTAACCTAGGACCAAGTCATTAATGGGCCCGCTAGGATTTGGCAGTCCATGTCCTTTGGATCAATTGCATGCGGCAGAGGAGACTGGACCGGGTTTAGAGAAGGCGGTGGGCTGGAGTCCGGTGGGGTCATCTTCGGCAGCCACCCTTAACGCTGTTCAGATCGGTATTCCGTGAGCAACTCTTCCCTTAAATCATTTAGATCTTCAATCAGAGCAAGTCAAACTAGTAATAAAGGGGATATACGTTAGCGCTTTTTTTTCGTATCAGTACAGTTTAACTCAAAATTCATTTTCTGGCTTTGTTTTTCCCTTGGACACAGCTGCAAAGTACTCTATGGGTTGAGTACGTCAAAAAGTCGTTTCTTGTTGCAGGAAACTGTCTCAATGTAATTTTGATCATTAAAACCATATTTATAAAGGATTCTGCAGGAGAAATGTATTTTTGTTGTTGTTTTAATAGGAAAGGCCTACTGTAGAAAATATGGAACTTCAGGAGCCCATCTTTCAATTTCTGGCATGTTCTTCAGTTTATTTGGTTAAATAGGTTACGTTCATACGATATCCTGGAGAGAACTTGAGTAACATTTGCAAACTCAGATATTATTTGCAAAGGAGGTGGGAAGAAGGAAGATTGCTTTTGGTGGGGGGTTGATTGCTTACTTGGGGGGGGGCGCTGCAGCCCAGAATACCTGTTTTGGGATAAAACCTGCACTCCTGGGGTAGAGAGAGCTGCGTACAATCTCTCTACAGCTCTTTTTGTATCCTCATCTTGTGGAGCCAGGCAGTAAATTGTGGAGCTGAGGCCAAAGGTGTATTTATTGTAATCCTACAAATAGCTGGATCAGTTTCAACTCACATTTCCTTGCAGAATTCATCTGGGGTGTGAGGTTTTTGCCCTGGAGGTTTCCAGTTTCCTCTTGATGATATATGTTATCCTGGGATACTTGCTTAATTTTTTTTTTTTTAAAGAAAAGAAAGCTTAAAAAAGAGAATGTTTTCTTTCCCTAAGAAATAAGTTTGTCCAGAATGTGATCCTAACTCATTGGGGGAAAAAAATCAATTTCTTGGAAGGTTTAATACATACATTGTCTATCCAACTGGGGACGCCCAGTTTGGGTAAAATAACGTTTAGATAATTTATTGGGAGAAACAAATATGACCTATTTGACTAAAATTATCAGGTAAATAGGGTGAGGTATGATCCAAAGTTTGTGAAGTGTTCCTTAAAAACAAAACCAGAAGTTGGCAGAATTGAGGAATGATTCCAGCTAATCCAATTGTGTCAAAACATGGGTTTGGGCCAAAGCTGATTCTGTTTTGACTGTCACATTTAAGAATTATTAAGACAAATTAGAACTAATTATTTTCTTATTCATTCAACAAATGGTTCCTCAGCATTTGCTGTCATCTAGACATGAGTGGATATAGTGCAGAGTCTGTAACAGCGCTGTCTAGTAGAAGTTTCAGAGAGGATGGAAATGCCTTATGTCCATGCGCTTCAGTGTGTCAGCCGCCAGCCATCTGTGGCTAGTGAACACTTGAAATGTGCTGCTGAGGAATTACTTTTTAATTTAATTTAATTTTAAATAATTTAAATTTAAATAGCCACGTGTAGCTAGTGGTTAAGTACTGGGCAATACAAGTCCTTAGGAATGCAAGGACTATACTTTAGACATTTTCAATGAAAGTAATGCAATTATTGATACTTAAATTAATCCTGGAACATGAATAGTTTATCTGCATTTCCATTTATACTTTACTGTTTATGAGAATGTTTAAAACATGTACAAAAAAGATATTAAAAAATACAGGCAAGCATAAGTACTCTGTTTAACGCCACTTTCTTTCTGTGCAAGTGACAGTGCCAATGACAAATATTAAGTAATTAATGTCTGAAATACCACCAATAAAGGTTAAATATTTTCATGCTGCTCTTGTGGATCCGAAAGCAAAGATACCGCGACAAGAAATGAATGATGTGACGGTATTATTCTCAAGTCAATGGAAAAGTCAGAAATTGAGATGAAGCCAATACCCTGGATCTGTCAGCTTTGGCAGTTAAAACTAAATAACACTGGCTACATCTTACAAAACAGTTTCAGGCCAGCTCTTAGTTTTTTTTACAAATACTGTCTCATTAACCGTAATCAGAGTTGGCTAAAAGGAGTAACTAACACCATCCACACTGGACACACGCTCAATGGTCTGCATGGGATAAACTCAGGATGTATAATACATTGGACAAACTTGAATATTTAATGTGATGATTTGTCCCCCAACCAGGTCCGCTCACATTTGCAAGCCTGAGGTATAACTTACAGGCTAGCTGTGTTATGTGATGCTGACTCTGTATATGCAATGGATAAATGTTATACATACGTGACACACAGTGTTTATGTATCAGAACTCAAGTAAAAATAAGCACAGTTAGGGCCCTTGCAGAAGTTTTCAAGCTTTCAGTTTGCCTAAGTATCCCCTGGGCACACAATGCAAATATTGAACCCTGGGCCCCACCCCAGACGTCCTGACCCAGGAGACCCCCCGGAGGCCGTCTGCAGCTCACACTGTTTAGAACGCTTCCTACAAAGGGCAGCGTGTCCCAGCCCTCATTTTACAGATGAGGGCAAGGAATCGTAAATTGCTTCAAGTCCTGAGGCTGTGGAGCCTGTTCCTGCCATTCCCCACTTGTGCCTGGTGGGGGCGGGCAGGCTACGTCTGGAAGTAGTGAGGCAGCCTGCACGCAGTAGGCCCTCAAGGGCTGCACGAGGCCCGCCCCAGGCCGCCTAGCCTATTGCATGGCCCCTAAACATATGCACAGACTGGACCCCCCTTGGATCCTGGGGGCTGGGGAGGTTAAGGAACGCTGTTGTAGGAGGTAGGGAACACAATTAACCAACTCCTTTGCGATGTTGCTTTGGAGACCAGACCACAGCCCCCTATGAGAGACCTCTGTTGTAGAAGGCTTTTATTTTAAAGAGTGTCGTTTATTAATTTTGCAATCATATCAGTCCATGATTCCAATTTCTTACTATTAGAAACAGTGCAGTGACGAACATCTTTATTTTTTTTCTTAATTGGAGTATAGTTGATTTTTGATGTTGTGTTAGTTTCTGGTATACAGCAAAGTGACTCCTTTATACATATATGTATATATACACACATATATATATAAATACATTCTTTTTCAGATTCTTTTCCATTATAGTTTATTACAAGATATTGAATATAGTTCCCTGGGCTATACACTAGGACCTTGTTGTTTATCTATTTTATATAGAGTAGTTTGTATCTGCTAATCCCAAACTTCTAATTTATCCCTGACCCCCTTTTCCCCTTTGGTAACCATAAGTTTGTTTTCTATGTTTGTGAGTCTCTTCTGTTTTGTAAATAAGTTCATTATATTATTTTCTTAGATTCCACATATAAGTGATATCATATGACATTTGTCTTTCTCTATATGACTTACTTCACTTAGCATGATAATCTCTAGGTCCATCCTTGTTGCTGCAGATGGCATTATTTCCTTCTTTTTTATGGCTGAGTAATATTCCATTGTGTATATAAACCACATCTTCTTTATCTGTTCCTCTGTCGATGGACATTCAGGTTGCTTCCATGTCTTGGCTATTGTAAATAGTGCTGCTATGAACATTAGGATACATGTATGTTTTTGAATTAGAGTTTTCTCCAGATATATGCCCAGTAGTGGGATTGCTGGGTCACATGGTAACTCTATTTTTAGTTTTTTAAGGAACCTCCATACTGTTGTCCATAGTGGCTGCACCATTTTACGTTCCCAGCAACAGTGTAGGAGGGTTCCTTCTTCTCCACACTCTTTCCAGCATTTATTATTTGTAGACTCTTTTTGTTTTGGCTATGTTTGGTCTTCATTGCTGCGCGCGGGCTTTCTCTAGTTGCGGCGAGCGGGGGCTACTCTTCGTTGCGGTGTGCGGTCTTTTCATTGCCGTGGCTTCTCTTGTTGCAGAGCACAGGCTTTAGGCGCGTGGGCTCCGGTAGTTGCAGCACGCAAGCTCAGTAGTTGCAGCTCACGGGCTTAGTTGCTTTGTGGCATGTGGGATCTTCCCGGACCAGGGAT